TTTTTGGTAAACAATATAGAAAATATTTGAAAATATCTTATTGTATTTTCAATAATTACTAGATTTTTTTATCCAAATCAAACGTGGGATTAAAATATTTAAAAACAAAAATTTATGATTATTTCTAATAGATGAGAGATATTAAAATTAACAAAGATAAACTATATATATGTTTGATCAAAATATAACTTTATGACATTTATGCACAATACATATTATTTTGTTGTACGTTTACAAATGTTAGATTACACGTCTAAATATTAAATTTGATTAAAAATATATTAATTATTTAATTTCACGTTTGACGTGGGTCAAAATCTAGTTAAAATGTAAATTATGAGAAACTTGTTAACGGTTTTTTGGTGATGGAACTTCTATTTTCAAGAAAGAACCGGAAATCGAAAGTTGGATGACACGAGTAGTAAATCACAATTTAGCATGTTTGTTTAGATGTTTGTAAAAATTTCCGTTTCCAATTTAATCGGGCTTTGTCTTCTAAAGTTCCGAGCTATGTTAGTTGAAATATACGGAGTCTGTTTTACGGAATTTTCCACGTTTGTAAAGATATTTTTTTATTACAATTATCATTCTGTATAATGTATATGATGGGGTACTATATGACAAAAACAGAAACAAACTATCTTTACCATTGGAATCATCACGTGCTCTTTTATTTATGCAGCCCATGCATTTATCGTTATCATAAAATACGAAAAGCCGAGAACCACATAAACAGAAAGAAAACCTAAGGATAAGAAAAATCACATTCTCGATTCTCCCCTATAAATAGAAACAACTAGCTAGAGCTCGAGACATTCATATATAAAATACACTTTAATGGCAGCTATGGAGAACACTGAGACGTTTTACCCGGCGGCAACTCCGAGTGCGTTTGAGAGAGGCAGCCTTCCGACAACCGTAATTAATAACGGTGGATCCGTCGGGAAATGATTCAACGGCGCCTCCAAAGCCGGTGAGAATCACCGCCCCGACAGTCGCGGGAACTTATCCCGTCGTGTTATTCTTCCATGGGTTTTATCTTCGCAACGACTTCTACTCTGATGTTCTTAACCACGTCGCTTCTCATGGCTACATTCTTGTAGTCCCGCAGGTACATATTTATAAGGTTTTTTTAGTTTTATTATAAGTTTATTTATAGAATAATCATGTACTATAGATTATAAACTATTTTTATCTTTACAAATCAGTTTCAAATGTATTGTTTATCTTCATTTTTTACACAATAACATTT